AGGCGCACGCGCCACGACGGAGCGGGCCGGCAATGAGGCTCCAAATGCGGCGGAGCACCCCGTCCGTGACTCGGGTCGGGCCCGTTTCAAGCGCGCTCAGGAGAAGGGACGGTGAGGCAGTAAATACGCCCGCCACTCGCCTGCCGGACGTTTTCAGAACGCATAGCAGGAGCTCAGCGGGGCCCCGTTCCGTGTCCTGGTACCTCACCCCGCTGCCGCACGCCAGAGGGCCGCCGCCACGCTTCACGCTGCACGTACGCACGTCTGGCGCTGAGTTAAGCGGGCGGCGCAGCCAGACCGCACTCCGAGCTCCACGGAGCCGTCCGCCCATTGAGTGTGTAGAGGAGGGCATGCGCCTTCGACTCCGCCAGCGGCATGCATCCCTTGTGTCTCTCCTCCGGATCGGCATCGGCGTCCAATCCACCCGGCGGCGATGCGTCAGGGTAGACGCGCGTTGGCAGCGTCGTGGGGCTCCGCAGCAATGGTGCGTGCCAAAGGCACCCGCGCTCGTGCAACTTACCCGCTATCAGGCGGAGGGCTGAGTGTGTCGGGTTGGAAGGCGGGAAAAGAGCCTCGGCGTTTCGCTCTAACTCGCCACTGCGCACGCACTACTGCAGGTGGCACCGGGTACCCCGCATCGATGCAAAGCCCTCCCGGCGAGAGAAGGCGAGCCTCCTCTTCAGCAGCCGCCCGAGAGGCCCCGACTGGAACGCCAGCGATGACGCCGGCGGCGCGGTTGTGCAACTTCTCCCGGCGCCCCAGTGCCGACGGCGAAGCCGTGTTGCAGTCCGCCACTGCCCCGTAGAGGAGTTTGTGGACCCACCAGCGAGGGTCTTGAGCAGCGGACGCAGTATTTTACATTTCGGCCCCCATGTTGTCGCAGACACCGCCTCGACCCCCATAAGTCCTGTTTTTTTTTTTTTCGGCGGTGAGATTTTCCGCACCTGCCGGCCAACCCCGCGCAATGGCTGGATTTAAACTGCCTCAACAATTGCGGGGCGCAATCCTCCACCAAGCGGGCCCCTCCCGCGTGCGGCCGCAGGCTTTCCGTGAGGGCGGTGCCAAAACAGCGCGCACTTTGTCTTCGCGGCGCTGGGCTTCATGTTTGCTTCTGCTCTGCCCATCTTGAGGCGCTATCCAACGCCTACCGCAACGTGCGCTCCATAGCGCCTATCCCTCTCTCGGTGATGCAAGTGATGGCGGTCAAGTCATCAGTGAAGAAAGCGAGTTCAAGGTAGGGGATGCTCATCAGCTCCTCGCTAAGGCTGTTCGCGGCAAAGATGGGCGGCGGCGTGCCGAGCACGGAACCCTGCGGAAGCCACAGGTGAAATTAGCTCTTGCGGTGGGTGTATTTTGTACACGCGGCTTTTGGCCGCGCGGCAGGGAAAGGAAGTCCGCCACCCACCGGCTCAGGCACGGCACCACCTTGTGCGCGCGGGGTGCGTGAAGGATGCAGCCGCGATCAACCGAGCCGAAGGCCCCAGCGTGGCCCACCAGCACCGCACCGACCTTCCCCCGCTTGCCACGGTGAAATGGTCTGAGGAAGCAGGCGAGCTAACGGATCCAGTGTGGAGCGACCAGGGCGAAAACCAGCTTGCTGGGAAAGAAGTTGGGCTTCAACTGTGCCGCGGATGCGTCGCGCCGCAATTCCTTCCACGAGCTTGCGCGAGCAGCTGGTGAGGGCGACTGGCCGAAACGCGGCGGAATCATTTGCCCGGCTTCCCAGGCTTGAGGAGTGGGACAATTGCAATGCCCACTTTCCGGGAAGCCGGAGCGCCACCGTCGCCGATGCTCCTGTTGAACGCGGCCGCGAGTTCCTTGCGGGCGGCGGGGGGCGGTCGGTGCAGGGCCTCGCAGTGAAGCGCGCCAGGCCCCGGCACACTCCGGGGACGCATCTCCCGCGATGCAGCGTCGAGCTCCCCAAGGGAAATCAGACGTGGCGGCGCACACTCCCGCCAAGGCGCCGGCGCGCTCCTTTGTGGCGGTCGGTTGGCCATCCGCCGCCGCAACCGGCGAACTGGCGGGGCGCGGGGCGTAGACTGCCCTGGCGCGGCTGCAGCTTGCCGCCTCCGCCGGCTTCGGTCGCGAGCACCGCTCCTTCCAGCGAGCAAACGTGACATTGCAGAGATGCGTTCGTCGCCGCTCCAAGGCGGTCCGTTTCGGCGTCCAGAACTGTGGGCGCTCTGCCTTTCGGAGGCCGGTGAGGGAGCCCGTTCCCCGCCTGGAGAGGTGCGGAGGCGCCGCCGCGGTCCAGGCGTTCGCGCCAAACCAAAATGCTAAAAAGAACAAAAAAACACCCGCACTCGTTCAGAAGCAAACTGCGTCTCAAAGAGAACACGCAGCGCAACATGCCCCTCTTTAACCGCTTCTCCAAAGAGGAATCCGCTTCTTCCGCTCGAGAAACCGCCAGCGATATACCGAGCAACCCGCGAAAGAGTACCTGGATTCAATTATACGCCCCTACAAAGACGAAGAACCTACCACTGAACAATCCACGGCGCAAGAGATGCCGCCACTCTTCGGCGGGTGGGGCTATTTGGCAGTCACCCTGCTCCAGACGGCGCCATCCAAAAAAAGTCGCTCGATCGCCGCCGCCGCGAGCCAACAAGAATTCGAAGAGAA